GGTATGCTAATTATATGCAAATTAAATATGCTAATTATATGCAAATTAGCACCCCTCTTTAAATTTTATTTGTGGAGAACACTGGGATTATTATCAATAATAAATGACTTTTTGATTCCATGTCACTAAGCAAAATTGAAGTAATAATCACCAGTATGGAAAGAAAGTTGTTACCATTTTTCATGACATTTTAGATGCTTGTATCCCAAAACATTGGTGATGACCCCATTTTTTTTGGTATCCTGATGCCATACAAATGAAAATAACATGACAAATAATCTGTAATTCAGCATGAAAATCTTTAATTCATGAAACCACTAACTATAATTTATATCTAGGTAATATTGGTATGTGGAAGAGAGTATTCACCAAGAAACAGAACGAACTATTTGATAGGGAGTACGCTGCCTGGATTGGTAACAGTGGATTGAAATTAAAATTCTAAACTTTTATCTTGAGTAAACCAAGAGAAGAAGTTGTTAAGATGTGTTAAGGATTGTAGCGCCCTCTATTGTTCTGAGTCAACATGATGAACACTATAGTAAACACTGAATCCACTCAAGAGAGCGAGTGGGACAGATTTTACTTTGGTTGTAACTTCATCGTTTGTTACAGTTAGTATGGATTATTTGTTAATCTTATGTAACGTTATCAGCACCTGATAGTGTGCTTTCAATAATAGTTGATTTTATGCCATAATGACTCTGAACAATGTGATATTCATGTCCCCAGTGTTTTTATTCATAACAACAACATTAAGAACATTTGTTTATGTATTGTACATGTATTTGTTGCTATAGTGTTTTACAATAAGGTGTTGTCAGTTTATGCTAATAATGTCAATGTTGTTTTTATGACGATGTTTTCTTGAAATGAATAAACTTTTATGATAATTAATAAATAAAAGTGATTATTACAAATGTAAAGCAATTTTTTTGCTCTGTGTTTTTTGCGTGATATCATTGTTAAAACACAGTCACCTGTTTTCAGAGGAGTGTGAGCTGTCTGTTTGCACTCTCTGAAAAAGTTGAATATTCTTTGTTACTTGTGAGTATTACTTGAGTATCTGGACTTTATAAATAGTGATAGTAGCTTCGATGGGTGTTGAATTGTGTTGTGGAGAGCCATTATTGGTTAGTTTACCCAACCTAAAAGTTGAAAAGCAGTTTTGCTTAGTGACGGTTATACGCCATACTCAAGATGGTCTCCTCTCAACAACCTTGTTTACAGAATGATATGTATTACCCTTGTATTTTCCATTAATATTGGTGGCGGTTACATGGTGGCCAAAGGTGTAGACCAATTTCAAGTCTGGTTGCAAAACATGGGGAAATTAACATGTATGATTGACGTCACTGAAGAAATGAAGATCGAAAACGGTAATTTATTCATGAACTTGGACTTGACATTGTGTTATACATTGCGTTATGTAACAAGTCGATTCATGCATACCGTAGATTTGAACTTGATGCTGACATTCAACCATTGCGAATCACTTGTTAATCCTCACATTCCAAGTATATTACTATGCGCTGGAGATAGCGAAAGAAATCCTGGGCCAGAAAAGGACATTATTAAGGCTATGCAAGATATGAAATCTGATCTTCTGACGGAAATAAACCGTAATGGTGATGAAATATGATGGGAACTGAGGGAAATGAAGCAAGACCAGGAAATATTCGCGAGTTGATAAACTGGTATCTAAGTTAGATAATGCGGTACGCGAACTGAAAAATGAAGTTGGTGAAATCAGCGAAAATGGAAATACATGCGGGCTCGATGTAGCTGAAATTAATAACAAGCTTGACCAAATTATTTCACGACTTGATATCTTGGATCAAGATGCGAATAAACAGGAAGCGGTTAGTAGACGGGACAATGTCAGATTTTGTAGAATTGCTGAGGAAACTGGTGAAACTTTTGATAAATGTAAAGATAAGGTAATCAATATTTTGAATACAAATGTGAAAGATAAAGTATAGGTACCACGTGACATTGTAAGGGCTCACCAAGTAGCAAGCTCACAAATACAAGGTCGTGTACGACCAATAATAGCTAAATTTCATCATTCAGATGACAAGATAATTGCACTCTCCGGCCGGCCTGCATTAAAAGAGGCTTGGATAGGTTTTGGAAATCACCTCACGAGACGACAGCGCGAATCGCTAAACAAGCTGAAATCCCAGGGTGGTAAAAGGTACTTCAAGAGAGGAAAGCTGGTTATTATTCCGGAAGGTGAAATTGACCAACAAAAAGAACGACAAAGATGGGGAAGAGAAGGACGAGCTTCACCGAAACGAGTTAAAAGTCTACAACACGACTAAAGCATAGACAGTTGTCAAGCGATAGAAGTGCAATGGCTGATGCTACACTATAGGGACATGGCCATGGTCCATCATTTTTAAACTGTTTGTCTTGGAAAGTTAGAGGTTTTAAACACAAACTTATTTCACTTGATTTTGTTCATTTCCTCAAATCATTTGATGTTATTTCTTTATCCGAAACATGGGCTGAACACGAACACCAATTTTCAAATGATTTTTCTGGTTTTAAAGTGTTTGATAAAACACGTCCTTGTACATCAACACGTGGTCGTTTTGCTGGAGGTGTTATGGTGCTTATCAGAAATGAGATTGTGAATTTAATACTGAAATACTAATTCAATCAAGTTTACATGATTGCTTGTTTTGCTTATTTAGAAAAGAATTAATTTGTTTAGATTCTCGGGACATTCTCTATTGTAACGTCTTTATCCCTCCACAAAACGCTACTGTTTATAATAGACTCGAATCACAAAATTGTATTGAGTTGTTGGAAAGTGAATTGGTGACTATTTTGTCTAAATTAGATGAAGTTGATGTAATAATTGTTGGTGACTTTAATGCCAGGTCTGGAAGCCAGCCAGATTTTATTATCAACGACGACGTAACATACAGGTTGTTACGTTTGTTTCGCAACTCATCTAATATGCAAGATTTACATAAATACCATACAATCCGTTACAGGTTTAAAAATATGTGCCATGATAAATTACGCCATTACAAAAAGCAATTAAGTTTACATCTAACTTGTACCCAAGATAAGTCATTTTGGTCAACGCTTAGACAGATCAATTACACTAAAAGTCATGTTACTGAGGGTCATCAGGGTCCTCTATAAATTCTCAGAAATGGTTTGAATCTTTCAGTACCTTTATTCACAAAATGAATCCAATAATGATTTGGCTTTGGCAAACCACCTGGAAAATTTAATCAGTATATATTTTCTTCCAGGTGATATGGAAATCGATTGGCACATTTTGAATAGTCCTATCTCAGATGACAAGATACATTAAGGTAGAAGCCTTCTCATAAATTAAAAAACCCAGAATTTATTCATTTTGCAATAAATTGTACTCCAAGGCAATATAAGGATATTGACCTAAAAAAAGTTGGGGGTCACCAGCCTTTTTTTCGCCATTTTGACACTATTATAACTCTTTTACCACAGGTACCTCTTGCAGAGATATTATGCAATATTTCAAAATCCAGCCTGGTGACATAGGCTGAAAAAATCATATATTGTTAATGATAGGATACATTTTGTTGTTCTGAATTATTTAAAAAATCTGGGTTTTTAAAGTGTCAAAAAATGCAATTTTTCTTTAACATTATGTTCTATGCAATTGTTCTAAAAATAGCAATTTTCAAGGAATATTAGGACATGTTTCTCAAAAAGCATAACTGTAACACACAAAATAATGCTATTTCATTGTACCATGCGACATTAGCTTCATGATTGTACATAATAAACTAATGAACATTGTTATGCGATTTATGACTAAATTTGTCAGAAATTATGACTAGGCTTCTACCTTAAGGTAGAGATGCAGGTTTGTTGGCACTTGGGAGTGAAATTTCTTTTTTTTGCTTTTTATTATCCAAACAGTCTTGGCTATAGACTTAAAATTTTGTAGAATTGTGAATAGTGGAACATACTCAAAAAACGATTTTAAAATATAGATAACAGGTGCAAACATTATCTCCTTTGAACGGTTAGAAAGATTTAGCAAGGCTGTACATAAATAATAAAAAAGAAACATGGTGAAAAAAAGAAATGGCGAGATCTCCATATTATGTACTATATTTAACTT